GAAAGAGACACAAAGAGACACAAAACAACCTCAAAGAGACACTAAGTATCTAGAAAGACACAAAGAGACACAAAACAACCTCAAAGAGACACTAAATGTCTAGAAAGAGACACAAAGAGACACAAAACAACCTGAAAGAGACACTAAGTATCTAGAAAGAGACACAAAGAGACACAAAGCAACTACAAAGAGATGCAAAACAACGACAGACAAAAACAACTGCAAAAAGACAAAAACTATTCCAAAGAGACAAAAAGCAACATCAAAAGCTGCTAAACAAGCATAAAGTCTGTGTCTTGCTCCTATGTAGTAGAGGTGGTGAGGCCCATTGTCTCATCTTCTGATCATGAGTGTTGCTTATGTATCGTTTTGAGCTCACTGCATTAATACGGTTGCATTAGGATATATTTACTAGAAACAATAATAACATTAAGATGGTTTATTGTGTTTGAGAAATCTAAATTGCAGTAGTTACAAAAGGTGAAAAAAAGAAATGCCCTGAAACTGGAATGTAACTTCTATTAGATTCATCGTGACGCATAAAGGTTACATCAACAACACACCGGTAAGAAAGAAATGGTCGACATCACTCACATATTATTTTTTATGTCTTAGAAAAAAAAGTCTGGAGAAGGTATGTGTGCTTAATGTCAGACACCAGATACACACTGAATTCATGAATCAACACAATGCATTATTGCATCAGTGGTGTCCTAACCCTTTCCTGCTGTGTAACCTTCTGAAGGATGAGAAGTATGTCTTTCTACCAAAGCCCTGAGATGTAAGTGAGAAAAAGAAATCCTTCCATTTTCTAATTCTGAACTAACTGGTTTTCTCTGTTGTGTTTGTGACATTTGAACGGTTGAAAAAAAAATCTTTAAAAATTGTAATCAGTGAAACAAATGGGGAAAAGGTTCTGCCAGGTGAAAAAAAGGATTTGCTTAAGAATTACTAAGTTACTTTTTTCCATCTGTGAAAACTGGTGAAAAATAAGTTTTGGTGTTTCTTTTTCTTTGTCAATACATTTTTTTAAGTCTTGTTAACCTGTTTTGGCCACAAGAGGCTGAATTGCACCACTTCCCCATGTTGCAAACTTAAATGCAAATTACACTTTGCCCAAAATGCCAATGTCTTAACACATAAAAGACACAATGTTGGTGGACAAACAATGTCAATGATTGATACATTGCAGCAAACTTTAAAACGGTTAATAGTTTAACGTTTTTGACGGTCAAACTGTATGCTGCCTCACTTTAGTGGCAATCGAACGTTACTGGAAAGCAGGTGCATTTTACAAAGTCAGCATATAGCCTCAGCTTCATGCATGACTTTTGAATTTTGATGTCAAATCCAAAATGCTTGAAATTTGGATTAAAAAGTTATATCCCAAAAAGATTGAACAATATATGAACAGACTGGATATTTTAAAAATGCAGGTTAGCCATGTTTAAATCATTTGTTAACCAAAAGACAACCTCTGCCCAAAAAGGGCCCAACCGTAGACCACATTGGCCTAATGAGTGCCAAATTACATGCAGCAGTAACAGTACCACAAATACCAGTTTCAACATCCAGAACAAAGTCCTGTAAGTGTGAAGTTAAAACAACTATTGTATGGATATAGTGGAGTAATGTCTGTGTCTCTCTCTCTCTCTCTCTCTCTCTCTCTCTCTCTCTAAGCAAATAAGCAACGGCTGGTAAATCACATGGTTGCTATTAAGTGTCTTCCATCTCAGCCATTGAACTCAGCCGATGCCACTCACGTAGACATATTTACAGCTGTGCACTGATTGAGCTTCCTGTATGAGAGATATCTCTGAGGCAATGCAGTATTGTTCTATAACCATGTCGCAAACGTTTTGAAATGCTCCTTATACTTACATTTTGTCAGGAAAATGATGGCCTTAATATTGTGTTACAGTACACATTGTCATTTATTTTGTGTTCCATATTTAACTTGGATTTAGATCAATTGAGTATTTTTTTCTATTAACATGTAAGACTCTTTTCTATTAAACAATGTCATAGCACCTTTATTACATCCCCTGTGTGATTTAATGTTTGATAAGTATTAAATAAATGGTTAGAGTTAGGCCAAGAGGGGTTATTTTTATGGGCACTGTGCAAAGAATACCTTGTACCTACAGGGTGTGTCTGTCTTTAAGGACTGCAAGCATCCTCCCTCCTTACTGTCTTTGTAGGATGATGATGCTGCATAGCAAAGCTGCCCAATAAAGTTTAAAGAGACCAAAGGGCAGGGAGAGTTGGAACCATGCCACAATGAGATTTCATATTTCAGAATGATTCTCTTTTTATATGCATGTACTTCTGAACGACCCCATAAAAACATTAACTATTGGTTAATTTTTTATTTTTTTTCAGGTGATTTTCCCTCCCAATTGTATCTGGCTGCAGCAGGGCAGGCATAAAGAGCCGTGAGCTGGATGGTTCTTGTCACTGTCGCCACCATCTTCTTGGATATCGGAGGAGGAGAAACTTGAGTCAGTCTCGTGGAATCTAAGAATTACCAGCTCTCATCCTGTATTCTCTTTTCTTTTTGGAGCCACTGTGTTTTCTCTTCTTCTCCTATTACATTGTCCACAATGTCGATATTCAAGGCGGCGACTGCGGTTCCCTCTGGCTGCGACCTTCTTTCCACCGTGTGTTCAGGCACAAACTGCCTTGTTCCTCCCAGTAACTTCAATGAGATGCTGGGCTTGGTGTTGAGCATAGTGCTCACCATAATGCTCGCCATGGTCATGTTCTCCATGGGCTGCACTGTGGATGCCAAAAAGCTGTGGGGGCACATCAGAAGACCCTGGGGCATTAGCATTGGTTTCCTCTGCCAGTTCGGCATCATGCCTTTCACAGCCTTCGCCTTGTCACTGGCCTTCGATGTGCTCCCTGTGCAGGCTGTCGTCATCATCATCATGGGCTGCTGTCCTGGAGGCTCTGGCTCCAACATTATCTGCTACTGGCTGGATGGAGACATGGACCTAAGGTAAGAAACCAGCTGGGCAAACTGACTGGTTGGCAGGCTCATTGGATGATGATAGTTAACAGTGTGTGGTTTGGATGACTGGACGCTGTCAAGCTATTTGAAAAATCTGTCCACCTGACGAACAAGATAGTTTTCTTATGAATGGACTGGTAAAAAGTCTGGTGGGAAAAATGATTCTTGATCTGTTTAAAAGGAATACTTTCCAGCACACCAGTGGAACTATGTTTCTAGAGTAGGGAGGCCTTTCTCCCACTATGTGGCAGCAAAAAGTAAAGTTTTTACTGATCACAAGTTGAAATATTTCCATTATTATTTGGGTTGTAACAAAATATAGATACATATGTGCATATGAGATACTGTATTGATTCTTAAAAATACTGTATTCATTATTAATGAATAGTTCGCTTGGAAAGATTAGTAGAGAAGGCAGAGTTCACATAAAAAAGGATTGACTCCGAGTTTTTGCATATGGTATTGTGTTCTTCATACCATTTTTCCTAAAATTGGATTTAAAAATCCAATCCAAAATCACCATTTACCACCTTAATTACAGTATCTCAATATATTTAATCGTAACCCCTGTATCTGTATCCTATTCTTTTTTAAATTAGAATTCACAGTGTTAACCTCTGCTACCGTGCACTGGGCTACACAGTGCAGTACAAAGTGACGCCAAGGGGTCTGACAAAGTGCCCGTATGTGTTGGAATGAGAAAATGTTGCCTACACCGTGTACTAACTATTGTATATTTCTGACTTTATCAATGGATTAGTGATAGGATAACATTTAGGTCCCAGGGCCCCCTGTATTGTCCTGTCAAGGTAGCGTACTGTGTACAATATCGGTTTAAGACTGGGCCCAAATTAATCCCCATGAGCAAATCCCCAAAGTGGACTATTAGGTTAATAAGAAGGCTGTTACAGCAACAGTTGCATATTTCATTGAAAAATAGTGTGTTATTAAAGAAGCGTGTTTGACAAACATACTGTTGATATTCTCTCTCCTCAGTATCAGCATGACCGCTTGTTCCTCTGTCCTGGCCTTGGGGATGATGCCTCTATGCCTGCTCATTTACACCTCCACCTGGACTTCTACCAGCACCATCCAGATCCCATATGACAGTATTGGTAAGTATGCAACTTATGCTTGATTACATTATTATATTATTATTATTATATCATTATTATTATATATTATATTATATGATTATATAAACATACATAGATAAATTGTAGACATGGTTTATTTTAGGGACCTTCTGTTTTATTATAGTCGTGTACTACCCAAAGCCCTTCACAGGTTTATTGTAACCCTATATTTATTTGATGATATGGATTCTGTGTATACTCAGGTATCACTCTGGTGGCCCTTCTTGTCCCAATTGCTCTGGGAATATATGTCAAACGCAGGTGGCCCCAGTGGGCAAAAAAGATCCTCAAGGTAGGATTCTATGTGCATGTTTTAAGTGAGTGACATATGAATATCACTCCAATATGTTTTTTTATCATGGTATTTGTTGTGAGAAATACATACATGGCTTTATTCAAATACAATCCCTTGACTGTCTGTGTTTTTGCTGTGCACAGATAGGATCCATTGCCGGCTTTGGTCTTATTCTCATCATAGCTGTGGTTGGAGGTGTTCTCTACCAGTCCTCCTGGACCATTGCCCCCTCCCTATGGATTATTGGAACCATCTACCCCTTTATTGGTTTCGGCCTGGGGTTCCTCTTGGCCCGCTTCACGGGTCAACCCTGGAACAGGTAGGGTGACAGCATAGTACATGTATAACATAGCTTAATTCAGCTTAATTCAGTTTAATTTATAAATCATATAACATCAACATCAACAAACATATTGATGATGAATTTAATTAATGAACTGACTTATCATTCCCTGCTTTGTTCAGATGTCGAACCATAGCATTGGAGACGGGTTTCCAGAACTCCCAGCTGTGCAGCACCATTGTCCAGCTGTCCTTCAGCCCTGCTGAGTTGGACATCATGTTTTCGTTCCCCCTCATCTACAGCATCTTCCAGCTGGTGGTGGCAGTCCTATCTGTGGGAGGTGAGCGTTAAGCAGGCAGATACGGACTCAGCAATCTCGGAACCCAACAGCTATCTGTCAGATGAGCCTCTGGGGAAAAGGTTCCATACTTCTGGAGTTCTGATGTAGGCAGCAGATATCTGGGCCAACACTTCCTTTTCCGTGCCCTGCTCATTGGATTAGCAGTTGGATTAGCAAATTGAGTTGGAGTTTGAAGATGTCTTGTACGACCAGTTGTTTTAAGAGTAGCCACATTACAAGGGCTGCTGTGGCTTAGTGGTAGAGCAGGGCCGTCCTTCCATCTGAGGACCAGCAGTTCGATCTCTGGCTCCGCTAGTCCATGTGGATGTGTCCTTGGGCAAGGCACTTAAACACAAATTGCTCCCAAATTGGTGAATGAATGATTAGTTAGTCCTGATGAGCAGGTGGCACCTTGCATGGTAGTCCCTGCCATCAGTGTATGAATGGGTGTGAATGGGTGAATGATGACATGTAGTGTAAAAGTCGGAAAACTAGAAAAGTGCTGTACAAGTATTAACCATTTACAAGCTAATTTTAAACCAATATAAAACGAAATCATCATCAGATGATAGCTGGTGGGTTCCCAGATTACATTTAAACAAATTCCAATCCATTCTTTTCAACTAAAGCCTGCTCAAACGTGATTGGTTAATGATACTCGGACTACAAATGGAAACCAGAACGCTTCCGATATTAAAATCTCATTCCGTTGCCTACAAACCGACAGTGAATATAATATTAAAAAGTACATTTTCTTTAGTGTATAATCACCTTAAAACAAGAACCATTGTGTTTTCTTCAGGTAAGAATGAGCCATTTGTATCTACATGGGGTCCAAGGGTCTCAATGACTATGCTGATGAGATGTCTGTCTGCTTTTCTGAATCAAAAATACATTTCATGAATAAGTTTCATATCAACCTCGTAATACACCTGCATAAACGCGTAGTTAACATTGTGAAACAATTGCTAAGGTTTAGGCAACAAAACTACTTGGTTAAGGTTAGAAAAAGATCATTTTTTGTGTTCAAATAATAAAGTAAGAAGGTAACCTAACAACCGTGCAAAACGCGCTCTCAGTGGACATTCATACTTCTTATACTCATTATTTTACCATGCAACTTTCAACAACGGTAGATCTGGCAATAACTGTTATAATGAGAACAGGACAAGCCCTAGATGACAGAGAAATTGTCCAGAGAAAAGGCTTATTCGTTGAAGTCCAGTTCATTTTTTGAAGTGCTTTTTTAAAAGTATGTCAAAATGACTGATCACATTTCTGAATCCATGTTTTTTTTCCTTTACAGCCTACCAGGTATATAAAAAAAGGTGTGGCCGTGGCTCAGCTGATGCAGACACTGAGGCTCCGTCCCTGGAAGCTGGTGACGGTGAATCAGGAACAAAGAAGGGACACGCTGTGGGGAACAGCGCCTTTGAGTTTGATGACAATGACATCAGCGAAGAGAAGGGCAAGGACATCAGAAAGATCACCCAGCTGTGAGCTTACAGACCTGATAATCACAGACTTTGGACTTTCAGTATGAACATCCAGGACCCCAGCATTACTCAAGACAGCAGCCATGAGTCAACAGTGTGACTACACACTGCACTCTGTCGGCTGGAGGCGTGCACTACAGGTCCTGTTCTGATCTACTTTAAAAAACCTTTGACAAGAGCAGGGTTGCCCAAATGTCCTCCCTAGTATTGCAAACAATTAGACAACTAACACCAAGCTTTATATAAAGTTGAAGGCCCTCCTTTCCCTTAATATATTCATATATAATGTGAACCAACTTTCACTCTGTGTGTTCTGTCAGAAAGCCTGTTGGGCCCATGTACCTTGATCAACGCATTTACTGACGTCTTCTGTACATGTAATTCAGACTAAATATGGAATGCTGTTTATGTGGATTACCACATGTCCATATGCAGATATTTACTGTAGTTTGCGCTGGATGGTGGAATATACAAATGAATACAAATGTATCGTGTTGTTGTGACATTCAACATTTATCTGATGAGACACAGTTGTGTCAAATGAGGAGAAATGTGTGCACTGTTGAGAGCCAATGTTTCACTGGGGTCAAACCATCTCACAGAGCTTAATGCTCTTACATTTTTAATATTCTTTATTCTCCTTATTCTCATTCTGATGTAGCAGGTGAAATCAGTGGTTTCTACAGACTTGGGCCCTGATGCAAACTAGTGTCATGTGTTCTCTGCTCTTTCAGTTCCTCTCAGTTCTTCTACACCTCTTTTATGGGGCACAGCTGATTTGGGGAATTTTTGAAGTATGTAAGCCTGTGGTTTTACATATCTATTTATGAAACATATTCACATCTAATTTATTTGTCCTCTGTATTGTGCAAATGTGAAAAAAATCAGAATTTCATGGATTAAAGTATTTTACGAAAACGTCTTTTCTTTCCTGTTACGTTTAAGAACTCTGCCTTCTGAAATGACGTGTTTATCCAAAAACTTACATGTTTGTTTATTTTGTTGTAATAATTAATGTTTTGATGTGAATATGACTACTAGTATTGAACTCAAAAAACATATTACAGTTTTTCTCACTTCGGCAAATTTTTTGAAACATCACAAAATGCATGTCTGCAAAAGGTAGAAACTCACCTTAAATCATTCCATTCATGATTCAAAGCCTAGTTATGTGTCAGTAAATGGCATCAAAATGACATTTTGTCTTGTAATCATGTGAGCCAAAATGATTTTTTCAACATGGCAGGCAAACAACCCTAAACATGTTTTCAGGGTTCCCACTCTTTTCAAGAAATCCTGTTTCAAGACCTCACCAGGACATCTTCCAGTTGGACAATGCAGGACAGCCAGCTTGCTCACAGTCATGGACAGACATGGCAATGTTTGTGGATGACACCATTTGTTTTCGTTCAGGAGATCATTTAAAAGTTTCAGCAGAAACCGTTACTTAAAGATAGTTTTATAAAAATTTGTTATCCTAAATTTGAACAAACTGCAGTAGCTCAGTAGCTCTTTGCCGTACTTAACACCATGTCATAGATATTATGGAACATGACTGACAGATTTTGATAATTGTATGGATAATTTAGCTTGTGATGGCTCAGACGATGAAAGAATGTTTGGAAGTTGTGACAGTTTCACTCAGAATCAACTCATCAGTTTTGATCAGAGAGCAAGTGGTTTTTGTACAAACTGGAGACAACTGTACTCTTGTACAACAAACTGTTCAGGGTTTTGAAAAAATAAAATCTTGAGAAGAAGTGAACTGTAATATTTATAACTTGGCTTTTCTATTGCACCTGTTCATTTGATGTAGAAGTGATAGCTAGGAGGTTATACCATTGTTAAAAACATATATGAGAATATTCAATATCCAATGACGCTGATCCGTATGCCTTTCTGAACTGCTTCATGGAGATTTTATTCTTGTACCGTAATAATGTGGTAAAATGTTAACATTTATAGGCCACATGGTCCCAGTACAAGGTCAGAAACATATTGCTTTTCAACCTTAAAATAATCACATTTCTTACAGTTGTCCAAAGTCCAAGCTGTGACAGCAAAAGCAGTCCACAGTCACAAAACTAGCACAATAGCCATGCTGTCATGTGACAATGAACGTGTCCAGCTGTGCCTGACATAACTGTAACCTCTGTGATTCAGTGATGAGCCACAGATCTCCTCCACAGTTAGCACAACCAACACCCTTCCGTTCACCAACTGGCTCCTCCTCCTGATGAGTGCACTGGAGCTGCCTTCACTTACTGATGGAAATACTGGGATTTCTCACGCTCCCTCGTAACCATGATTGAAAAAAAGCATGTATCTCCAGATTTTCATACCACTATGAATAAAGTAAACATTGTAAGCATTTATTTTATTGATTTAAGGAGCTGGTGAAAAGATTTTTGTCTCATTATGAACACAGGACATGTTTTTTCTGAACAGTGTCTCTTAATGTCCCTGTACCCCCACCATGGTGCACCCCCACCACGGTGCACCCCCACCCACCATGGTGCACCCCCACAGGTGTTTTTGCCTAATGAGACACCTCGCTGCGACTAGTGCTGCCTTCAAATGGGGTCCTGTTTCAGAAGAGTCCATATGAACGACATCCACATATTGAACAGTGACTGTGTTCACCTGGTGCCTGCCATGCTGACTCTGCATTGAAGCGGCCATGGTTTCATGATCATTTCCTTTCCTTGAAGTGACAACAACACACACTTCTTTTTGAAGTATCTGCAATATATCATATTGGGTTAAAACAATAACTGAGATAGCCTACTTTAGTAGATTGGATATCTTTTTTTATTTTTTATGTTTTTCTTCGTGTTTTAAAAATGTATGTTTTCAATGATCTTGAAGTTTAAACAGTTGATAATAGCTGTCAGGCTCAATTGTGAATTATAAAAATAAATCGTTGTGGCAAGTAGCACGATACTGTATATTTTATATTAATCAGGTTCTAAATTGAGCTATTATATTCTATGTGAATAACACGTGCAGTTATGTGTGTCTTCGTTAACCTCAGCAACAAGCAGCTGATTAGCTTTACAAACTACAGAGGAAGCACATCGGCTAATCCTGGCACATTAACAATAAGTGACTGCATTTGTAACATCCCTGAAATAAATGTAAATAATTAAACTCGGTAAGATAAAGTTGCAATTATTTTTATTAATTTTTTTACCAGTGCTGAGTCTCAAATGAATGAGCCTTAAAACCCTTCAAGTTGCCATGTGTTAGCAAACATATAAATAACCTCAATAACTGGCACATTCCTCAGGAGATAAGGTGCCAAGAATATATCTTGCACACATTAGTAATTGTTACCACTTATTAATACTTCTTACAATCTAAATGACTTCATTATCTAACTTCGTACTTACTTGCTTAGTCCCATTGCTAATAATACAAGCGCATTAGTCTCACTTATGCATCAGAGACATCAGACATCAGACTCCAGAGTCTTATCTCATTGTCATGCTGTCTGTGAATGTCATTGTAAGTATTTCTATTTGGAAAACACTTTAAAATATGGTTAATTTTGTATCTTTCCAGTATTGCAATGTTATGTCCAACCAAGCACCTCAATAGAGCTCCTCACTGGAGTCAGGTCCATGTTCACTTCCTGTGAGCTGATGCAACTCGCATTGACTGCAAAAGGAATGAAAGACGGCTTCAATTTATTCCCATATATTTGTCCTCAAAACATGGAGGCCTTAAATTAGTTTCACTTTGCAGCTACAAGTTGAAAAAACAATTGTCATATTTTCACAAACAAATGCTCCTTTTCTGGTCCGTAATTTATAAACATCACAGATTACATCTTAACAGAAACTGTTTCCTACTGAATACGACAATCTGCTGCATACCTTCTCAATATTTGACTTTAGATAAAGGTAAGGAATTTATCCATCCAAATATTTCTACAAACATGTAAGATGGAGATTGATGTGAACTGCGCATTTTGTCAGCTGGCTCCAGACCCCAGTAAATCAATGTTATATGATTAATTTGAATTTATTATTATTATTATATATTTGTTATATGTTTACCATGCATTTTGTCAAAAAAATTGAATGATACAAATAAAATCAAATAAAACACTGCAACAGGAAGTCGCAGTTTACGAGGAGACCCTGAATGCAGCAAAAGACCGTTCACAGAGAGACAACAAGCAGACCGTGAGAAGCAGTCAGGACCTCGTAAGTAACTAATTATTCATTACAGCAAGTTTCTTCATACATGAAATGCCTCTCACGCTATTTTATGAGGATAAAAACAATGTGTCACTGACACATAGACTGTCCTGTCTTATCTGCATCGAATAACGTTACTATCGGCAAGGAAGCTCTAAAAAAGTTCATCTCCTTGTTTCCTCTTCTTCAACTTGAGCGTTCTGTTACCGTTATTACCGTCACACTGTTTGCGCTTTAACCTGTCAGAAAGGGCCCTGACAGAAGTAACCACTATCACGTAGTAACTTACATAAAGTTACATTTGATCAAGTAAACGCGTGATGAGTTTGGTGTTCCTCTGTGGAAACTCAGCCGCAGTTTAACGGCTCACATTCCTCCTCAAGTGGTTGGTATGCCGCTGACTAACAGCGAAGTAACAGTCCTAACGCTATGGCAAGATATCGAAACGGAACCATTTAACTCAAGTAAGCTAACGTGATCAAGTTAACTGTGAGTTAAGTTAACGTTCGCGTAAATGTTTCTGAGAGGAAAGCTCCTCGTGTTGAAAGGGCCACATTAGGTGTAAACGTGCTGTAATATCTCAGCAAACACGAACATACTTGTGATATTTTAGAAATGAGAACATTAAAGTATGACCATATAATTTAGAGTAAGTAGACGCATGTTTGTTTGTACGCTAGCTGTTAGCTAACGCCAGCTACTTCCCCTGGTGTGGTAACGTTAACGTTAGTTCAGTTGAGATGAACCGCCTCAGGAGTCTTCATGCTGCAACATGACTTCTCAGTGGCTCGTCTGGAGTTATTGCCTCAGACTAACACGATGACACATCCCGCTGCAGTCACTGACACCCCGACCTGTCCTCATCATTCACAGCAGCCACACGCAGGCAGGGAGTGTCGGTGCAGCATCGCTGCAGACTGTGCAGTGGAGTGAGTACCAAAGACAGATGAAACAGCCCAAAGGCTTGTGGTGAAGAAGTGAATAGCATCATGCTAGTGGCCAAATAAAAGTGCAAAGTAATAAAAGATAGCAAAGCTTTACTTCTAAATTAACCCAGCCTCTCTTCCCAAACTGTACTGTGATGAGTGCTGATATCTAAAGTATTCAGTGCTGATCAGTTCTTTATGAAAGTCACTGACAGATATGTGACGTATCAGGGCACACAACCGCTTCTTCAACATTAGGATTGTTGTACAATGATGTTTATTCAATACAGTTGATCGCCAGGTTTTACATGAAATATATCATAAATACAGAGTGTTGACACTTTATCCACTTCATGCGCAGAAAGAGCAGAAATATTAGAAATGACCTACAATATAATTCTAAACGTAATATATTTCAATAAAACAACAAACTACGTCCCTCCTCTGTGACTTAGCTCGATGTATATTTGATATTCTAGACGTATTCAATCCTTTCTTCTCTTGCCAGTATTTATTTTAAGTGGAACATTGAACTAAATAGCTATACAGAACAGTGATTTTGTTTGTCTTCCTGACCACATGGATGTGTACATAGTCACAATCAGGTGTTTAAACAAGGCAGTGGTGGGTGTGTCATGTCAGAGAGGAGAACTTCACAGCAGCTCAAGGCTCCGTGTCGCTGCAGCAGCTCACTTCCTCGCTCACAGATCCTGTAGAGTGGAAAATCACAAAGAGATAAAATATTCAATCTTCATGAATATTGTAAAAGGCTGTTGAGGTGAGTCATGGGTTTTGTCAATGAATGTTTCCATTTCTTCCTCAGACAGCCGAGTCAATCCTCGTAAATCACTTGTTGCTTTTTCTTTTTTAAGGTCAAATGCAACTTCCTGGACAGCAATGTATCCCTGAGTTTAGTTACAGTTGGGTTGTTCAGTGCTTTAGTCGTTCATCATCAACATTTGGATGGTTTCAGTTTGTCCTTGTGGAACAATGTAGTACATACTGTATTATTCTAGATCAATATCATTTTAAAGATCAAGAAAATAATCCAAATTATAATAATCATGCCATGTGTGCATGTGGCGTTATGTACCCTGTGCTCTGTCAGTGCCATGGGTCAAATAACATATCCACAGTCTTTAATGGTTCATATTTTTCAAAGAAATAAACGTATCTCCATAAGATTTAATGAAACAGAACCCAAAAATGTAATTACTTTATTTCTGTGTAGTTTAGTTTGTTATTAAAAGCTGCAGTGCAAAACATAAAGTCACCTTGTCGGAGCCCAAATGTGTATTCAGCCTGTGTTGTTCAGGGATCGGCACACGGCTGTGCTTCTACATCATTTACTTGTTGACTTGTACGGCAGGACGTCCTGCTTTAGTTGTTCCCGTACAGAAATAGTTTGTCAGTCTTTCAGTTAATTAAACAGCATAAAAGGCATCAGGACTCGTGCCTAGTCATCCTTTGTGGGGCTGATCTGATACTGGTGCATTGAATACTATTCTATTCGACAGCTGTATATAATACGACTTACCCTGTGTGCATGTGACATGATTGCTATCATTGTTGTCTGGCCTGGCTCAGGTTAAATGCCTCGCAAAACACGAGCACATACAGAGGACGAGCGCTGCAGAACTTTCTTTGTTATCTAGTTGGACAGATTTTCTGGAGCTGATGATAGACGATAGCTGACGAGTGAGCCGTCTCGCTTCTTTCTTATCTCTGGTGAGCGTTACACATGTGCGGTAGCGATGGGGCAGGATCTAGAGATTGGGTGATAATAATAATAATACATTTTATTTGTATAGCGCTTTAAAAGGTACGCAAAGCTGCTTTACAGGAGGTATGAAGGGGCTAGGCTGTGGAGGGCTTTGTGATGAGTAGAACTTGAACTGGATTCTTTGTGTATGGGGAGCCAGTGGAGGTTCTGAAGGACTGGGGTGATGTGATCTCTGGTGGAGTGGGAGAGCAGACGGGCAGCTGAGTTCTGGATGTATTGTAGTCTGTTGATGGTTTTGGATGATGAGCCGTACAGGATGCTGTTACAGTAGTGCAGTCGAGAAGTGATGAAAGTGACACGTGTTGTTGTTGTTCCTGTGTAATGTAAATGAGCTGATAAATGATATGATAGCGTGATATCGGAGCGGTGCACAGACTCGTGTACTTGCTGATACCGGATCTAGCATTTTGGGCTTTAAATACTGCTATCGTATCGGAAGAACTCTAGTTTTTAGTGCCGCAAAAGCTCCCGACAGGCTGTGTTACGTTGTGAAGCAGAGAGACGACAACACTCGTATCTGTGATATGATCACAACGTGTCACAGACTGAAGGAAGTAGTCGTCATAGCAGTGGTTTGTGGGTATTATGTCACAGATATGAACCAAGCGGCAACCTCCCATTCTGAAAGGTGAAGCCAATGCAGAAGTTCCTTAAAGCTGCATTCTCTCTAGTGTTCACCAGGGGGCGACTCCTCTGGTTGTATAGAAGTCTATGAGAAAATGACTCTACTTCTCTCTTGATTTATTATCTCAGTAAACATTGTAAACATGAGTTTATGGTCTCAATCTCTAGTTTCAAGTCTTCTTCAATACAGCATGATGTTCATTCAGTAAATGATGGTCCATTTAGAGTCACACAGACCATAAAGCAGGGGATGCTTTATGGCGGGGCTACACGGTGATTGACAGGTCTCTGCGTCTCTATGTCACTCCTCCGCAGTCCAAATATGGTCACTTTCGCTCACTGGTGGCAAAAAAACAAGATGGCGATGGCCATAATCCAAGATTGTGACGGCCAAAATGCCGAACTCAAGACCGCAGTCCACAAACCAATGTTTCTGTTTCACACAGTCTCTGCTGTGAACCAATCAGATTGCTTGATTTTAGCTACCCGTTTTATAAAATCAATAATTAAATGTAACTTCTCTTCAAGACCATTGTATCCTTAATTAATTATGTCAAATTATTATTTATATTTAATGTAGCTGAGGTTAGTCCCAGTGTTGATCTGGGGACCAACTTAAATATATAAATTTAGATATGAATGCTAAATAAAAGACGATGGAAAACATTCTGCTAATTTACTTGGTGACCCTAACAAAACCCCCTGCGACCCACCTGGGGGGCTAATCTAACTGACTGCCACAAGTGTTAGAGGGAGCCAAGTGCACAAGAAACGACTCGAGAGCTTGTCCCCAGAGCCTCTAGTGTAGCAGCAGCCATGTGCTCTGTGAGACCGAGTCCCAGCTGAACACTCACAGGAGCCGAGCTCCCTACAACCATAACAACCAGCTAACCTGCTCGCACACAATGGCTCGTCGTGCCATATGGCAGTCTTGTCATTGTGGGAGGCTACAACAGTTGGAGAGAGCATATCAGGCGTCATCAGACGTGGAGGGACAACAGCAGTGTTCCTCAGGAAGAGTAACTATGAGAGCAGTGATGTGACTGACATGTGGTCGCTGCATATGAACACAGAAGGTGCGCATGGAGACGACCACACAGTCTGTGCTCCTACCACCTTGTGCTTGGCATTTTAGCATTCAAATTTCAACTGAGGGTGAAAAATGTTAAACTGCGGGTGCAATGCATGCTGTTGCACCCTGGTGGAACCGGGCCTGTCTCCTCCTCTTGCTCGAGGCTCGGTCACACATGCGCCCTGAGGAGAAATTCTCCTGGAAGTTCACCAAAGTTCAACTCCACGCGATGCCAAGATTCATGCTGACCTGCTGCGTGTTCATGTATCGTAACATCAACTCACCTGGCACTAAAAGCCAACGTGCTTCTGGTAACACAGCGCCACTTGGATTTATAACTGATATAATTACTTCTGTTCCTGTTCTATTTTCTCAGCATAATGGTGCTTCATAGAGAGCTGAACTGTGCCCATGAGTTTAGTTTACTGGCAGATGAACAGGTCAAGCTAATGGTGGCCCATTGGGAAGCTACTTTAACGCTCTCTTGTGCACTATTTGAATTCAAACAGGTCGTTACAGTTGGGATACTGAATTTTCTCACACATTCCAATGAATAATCCCATAAGGCTCATACACTACATGATGGAAGTAAAACACCTAGTTGTGAAAGTGCTGTGGTACATTTCATACAATAGTATCATTGCTAAACACTTAAATGTGGCTTCTTTTAGAAAATGGTCCAGGGCCAGCTATGAGCTATGAGTCAAAGCAGTCCCTGCCTGTGGACCCGGCTCCCCCAGAGCAGCCGGTCCCCGGGTGACCGCTACAAGCACGCCTGCTGCAGCCACGATGGGAGCGTCTACATCCTGGGAGGAAGAGACAGCGGCGGTCTGAGGGACTTCTGGAGGTACAGCGTGGGTAAGGGCCACATACACAGCTGCTGTTCCCTTTATAGTGCTTTACTCTATAGCCACACAGAAAGAGCACAACAATGTCATACAAATCATTTTAGGTGGAAACTAATCTAATTGTGTGCAATGTTTTAGTTTGTAACGATTGGACAGAGTTGAACTGCACCAGTGAAGCTGCACCAGAAGAACTAGAGGAACATGCTATGGTGGCTCATGAGGTACAAACTCTTTTTAACTGTAAATGGCATCAAAGGAATAAAATGATCATATTTAGCTTCTATCTCTGCTTATGTGAACGATGTGTGTAACGACAGTGATGGTTGCAGGGCTTCCTGTACGTGTTTGGAGGAATGCTGGACTCTGCCTACACAAGGCGGAGATGTCCCCTCTGGGTGTTTGACGTTGGTGAGTCTCTCTGTGTTTCACTACATGCGTGACGCAACTTACGTTTGCTATCGCCTGCAAATACGAAACGCGTTGCTGCATGTCGATTGCCGTCCCACGCCTCCGAGCCCCAGAGAATATATTCAGCACTAACACTTCATCAGTGTTGGGGAGACTTTTGCATTTTTCTGGAAATAAACATTTTTTGCTTGAACAAAGAGGTTAAAATCAACTGTAACAACAGAACTATTCATATTACGCTGACAAATACTAATCATGTAAAAAAGAGTATTAGTGAGTTAAAATGCCCTATTTACACAACTGTGTGTGTGTGTGTGTGCGAGCGTGTGTGTGTGTGTGTGCGAGCGTGTGTATCTGTATCATTTGTTTTTATAGTTTTCATGTATCTGCATGTCTTGTACTTGCACTCATCTGTTTGTGCAGTTAGTATTCCCACTGTGTGTACGTATTTGTGTTAAAACACAATGTGAGCACGATGTCGTGCTCACCACCACATTATACATCTTAAATCCCCATAAGTGCTGCATGTCCAGCTGTAAGAAGACAATGTATGAACCATATTTCACTTTGGTCCAGAACATTTCCATGTGAGAGGATTCAGTGTCATTGTTATAGACTCTGCTCCAGAGTCTAGACCATGTCTATGTAGCGTCCCGCTCATATGAGGAACACTACAGGCAAGAATGTAACGAATAGTTATCACCATCATACTTCACAGTTCATCTCTCGCATGAAGTATTTTCTGAAGATGTGTGTTTAAATATCCAAATGAGGCACTGACTTAATAAATATGTACTCATTTGCATACATTTCCACAACATAAATCTAAACATTGGATAAAGCCAGGTTCAACATTTTGGATTTTCAGTATTTGAGATGGAGATTTGGGATTTTGGATCTCTTTTTATCACTCCATAAATCAGAAAATACTGTCACCACCCATATCAAATAGTAATAAAGTACTACAATGTATTGTATGAATGATATAGGAACAAACCCCTCAGAGTCTGAGATATAACTCATTTAGAGAAAACAACCTTTAAAGATATACAGACACTACATGCAAATATGGTAAAATATATGACTTTCCCAGATAATAACTTACATTAATTAAAGTTTAAATATATAAATGAGGCATTATCTAATGGCAACTTTTGGTGAATTTAGGGGAAATCTATGTTTTCACCTTAAGTTGAAAAGCTGACATGGGGAGTGTATATTCATAGATTGTGTTGTACGTTGACGGGGCAGAGGTCACATCTCTTCTGCTTGTTGGACGGCCTTTCCACCAAACCTTGATCATTTTTGTTCGCACCAAATATAATTGTGTATATAAGACATACAAACCTGGTAAGGTGAGGTGTCCATACATCTCAATCGACTGTGTGACATTAACTGACCATCATTACGTAATACATGATTCATTTGTAGCTTGTTTTTGAACCTAAGCTCCACTTTATTTTTCCTTCGTTGTGTTTGTTTCAGCAAAGCTGAAGTGGGTGCACTGCCAGGGGAAGCCGAGCCCTCAGGTACACAGACTGTGACCATGATTACAAGTAGCAGCACAATACGAAGACAGGTGTTTCAGTCTGCGTTCTGACTGACAATTATCATTTAAAATACATAACAAAGTAAAAGAAGTGCATGTGTTGCACTTGTAGACAGATATTAGAGAATGTACTGAAGGTAGTTGGTGAACAACAGCAACACGCCTGCTGTCGGGTACAGAAGGTCTCTGCTGGTCTGCTCACAGAACGTCTGAATGTTCTCATCACACATGATAATATGATCAGAAAGAAAGGCATCGCACTGTTGAACAAAGATCCAGAGTCATTTCATGTTTATCTACACAAAGGTCACAGACATGTTTGTATGAACTTCAAATGTTCAGTGCATTACTTAGAAATATCACCAGCATCAATTGTACAAAGATATAATCATTACAAGTTTGGAGGCAATTCAAGTGGCAAGTCAGGGATTTCTTAGCTTAGGTTGTCTTGAAGGCAGCAGGATGTGTTCAGGTGTACCCTGTGCACACCGACAGACCCAAACAGCCCCGAGAACCACATCAGATCTAAAGAAGAGAAATATAGAAACATTAAGTCAGAATGAATTCTGAAGAGTAAAGGTGAGCGTAGTGTCGCTAGTGAGTATAGAACCCTGGGGTTTCTTAGTAAATAGATAACTCTCTATATTTGTGTGTTCGTGTGTTCAGACCCAAATGCCAACCAACAGAAAAGCCCACAGTGCTGTGGTGGTGGGCTCTGCCCTGCTGCTGTACGGAGGCTTCGTAGACATGAAAGGATCCTCGCAGGACTTCTGGAGTTTGGACTTCGGTGAGTTTAAAGTTGCTTTTATTCCCATTTTTAAAAAAAGCAACTACTGAGTTCACAAATGGGTTGTGCAGCGTTTGCGGCCATTAAACACAAGAGTGTAAAAGTTCTTAAAGGGTGGAAAGCTACCAGGTCAGTGCTCCTCTGCTACTTGTTTTTAAATGAGGTAATATGCAGATATTTAGTGCAAAACCATCAGCGCTGAGAGCCACACGCAATGACATCAGTAGTGTCTCTGAAGCACACAGAGGTGTCATGCCCCACTCATCTTGGCAGCATTGAATGAGATTCTTTTGTCCTCTGCTTCGAATCACGCCATCTTTGACAGACCGGGACATTCTGTCCCAAACACGGGTTCTCTCTGTCACAGTCAAATTCCCTGCCGGAGGTTTTGAGGTCTCTGAACCTCATCGGTCAGGATCCGTAGCTCGCCGAATGAATATGTCATTTTTCTTTTTCTCTCTCCATTGCTCTGCCTACTGTGTTCTTGGCACAAACATTTGTACTTTGTCACGTGGATAACTGCATCAGACGCAGGGCAAGGGTCTGTTGCACACACTGTACAAATAATAACGAGTGGAGGGCCTCTTTAATCGTCAAAGCATTTCTGAAGAGAACACCCCTGGGCTGTGTGTTCAGTATCGTGACAGCATCATGTTGGGACTAACCCTATGACCACTCAGTGTGAGCTCCAGTATGTGCATTCATTGTAGATACCTGTGTGTGTGTTTCTATGCATGACAGATACCATGGCTTGGTCCCTGCTGAGTGGTTCTCAGCAGGGCTCATTAGGCCCAGGCCCCAGACACAGCCACTCAGCTGTGGCCAACCAGAGCTGCATGTACCTGTTTGGGGGCTTGAAAGGCTTGCGGGAGCAGAAGGACTTCTGGAAGTGGAATTCCAGCAGCCACACGTGGAGCTCCCTCAAAAACAAGTGAGACTTTCCTCTGTCAGTTTGTCTTGTCGGGTCCACAGCTGACGGCGCTACTCGATGTTAAGCGACATGCGTCGACTCGCCGGCGCCAACAGCTGTTTCATATTTACTCCTGGGATTGACCCACCCAGGCCTCCATAGCTTCTCAACGTGATGCTGCATTGCACTTAAAGAGCTGTAATGCTCTCCTGTAATTACATTATCGTTCCTTGTAATGCAGTAGTATAAAGTATCACTGATTTACAGTAATTCCATCCAAATTACTAGCCGGCTAATACTTACTGTACTGTTCAGACCCTTATATAGTCTAACATGGAGGCACTATGTTTATTGTTATGTACCAATCACCAAGCCAAATTCCTTGTATGTGCAAATGTACTCGGCAATAAACCCATTCTGATATCATGAGACGACCTTTTATATTTGTATTATTATGAGTGACATGGTTACATCCAGGTCAGAAACGTCACATGCAGGTTCAGGCAAAGACCACATCTCACTTGATCCTGTTGTAGTACTGAGGAGGCTGAACAGCCGGGGAACACGAGGAGAGGACATGTAGTGGTAGTAGTAGTAGTATGGATATAGTAGAAGAGAGAGCCAACAGATAGAGTTAGGTATGGGATCACTTTCCTTTGCTTTCCATTCAAAAAGAATATCGCTAACACTTCATCAGAAGGAAACAAATCATAAACTCAACTAATGGATGAATTAATGTAGGATGTGTCATGAAAGCAAACGAAGGAGAGACACTGCAGGTCCTTCCTTGCTGCCGCTGTCAGACTGCACAACCAACACCGCTCCTAATAGACCACACATACCGTATGAAACACGGAAAACGACTCATTCATTCATGTGCAATATCAATATCAATGTACGTATGTGCAAAAACAAACTATATTTTTAGCTTTTTTTGCGATTTACTGATTTATTATACCTTTACTCTTTGACTATTTATTGCACTTGTTTTATTTTTATTCATTTGTTTTTCTACTGATGTCTCTTGTTGCACTGTCCACTTTGTCCCCACTGTGGGACTAATACAGGATTATTTTATCTCTTATCTTATGTCACTACAGTGAAAGAATGTTCATTCACTGTTATTTTGTACGTTTAATGATATGCAACCAAACAGCTGGATTCCAGTCACATAGAAGTTCATTTGGTCGGCCTCTCTTCTTAAAGCACAGCTGCACCTCCTCTCTTAAAGCACAGCTGCACCTCCTCTCTTAAAGCACAGCTGTACCTCCTCTC